GTATCGGTATTTAGTATTTTCTCTGGATGCTAATGATGGTGACAGTTTCACTTCTGTCCTAATCACTACCTGAATATTTCAGTAATCCACATCAAAATGTGAGATAATTAGTTGAATCAACAGTCATGTAAAATTGTCTATTTATCCATCTACTGCCGAGCAACTTTCCAGTTATCTCGAGACTGAATTTACTTCGTCGTATTGTTATGACATCAAATTTGCTATAAAATGCTAAAAGTCACTTACCAGGATTCTATGAAGAGATTGACATCATCCACATATGTTCCCCAGATGATAACTTCTCCACCAATCACCATTTCAACTTCTTCATCGGTACCTTAGAGGAAACCAAAAAAATATGAGGTGAACTTATCGACACATCAGAAACCAATGTGACAGGAAAATATTGATGAGTTACCCACGAGACTTTCAACTGCTCATTTATGTCTACTTTCTGGAGCCAGTCATCAACGACATGAGTTGAGGAGAACTCAATCTGTCCTTATAAGATGGTCTTACACTGAAGCTCTCACAATGTCAAATCGGTAATTTTAGTTTCAGGTGTGAACAAGACTTGCGTAGACTGATTCAGTCCCATAGACAACACTGTGGAATCAAGTGAATCGAATGTTACCTATGTTGTTATCCGTTTCCATTCCAGTTACTGTTGGTCGTTTCACATCTTGTTGATTTCTAAGGAATTTGTTTGTTTGACCTAATGCATAAGAAAGTTAAGACTTTCCAGCATAACTCAACCTCTTCTCTTCCAGTTTATAAGCTTATGTATTTTAACCATTTTTCTTTAGTATTTTCACTTATTCTTCCCTGGATTTCTCAGTAAAGACTATGTTATTATTACGTAGAACTTTGAAGTCTGTATTCAGAAATTATTGTTGTTATTATTATTGTATCCTTTAATTCCTAGAGGAACATAGAGCTTCAGCTGTGCGTCTCCATTGAGTTCAGTTCTCTGCTAGAGTCTTCACCTGGCTCCATGTCTGCCCACACGTTTTCATCTCCTCTTCACATGACCTCTTCCAAGTCACCCTTGCACTGACAACCAACTCGCCGCTTCCCTTTCGGAATCCATTGGAGCAATGGCTTGTCTAGTGATGTCACTTGATGGTTTCTTCAGAGTATGGCCAATCCATCTCCATTTCCTTCTGCATATTTGTTTCACAATCGGTTCCTGGTTGGTTCGATCCCAGAGATCCCTGTTGCTGATCTCTTCTGGCCATCTAATCTTGAGTCACATTGACCGAAGACAGCTGTTGATGAAGGTCTGTAGTTTGTTTGAGATGCTCTTTATGACGCGCAGTGCAAGTCTCTGATCCGTATAATAGCACTGACTTCACATTGGAGTTGAAAATCCGGATCTTATATTCATTTTCAAGCTGAGCGCTGTTGACCTCCACACAGACTTGAGAGTAGTGAAAGCTTGTCTTGCTTTATCGATTCTTGCTTTGATATCCTCGTCAGTTCCGCCTGATGTGCTACTGATCCAACTAAACGACACTGTTGTTGACAGGCATTTTAATTCTTGCAAGCAATTGTCTGAAGTTATCTTGTCGGATACTAAACATCCTATTTATTGACAATTTTCTCCTGATATGTGCGTCGGTGGCACAGCGGTTAGGACGCTCGCCAACCATGCACATGGTCCGGGGTTCGATCCCCGACCGACGCACTCCTTTACCTCGCTAAGCCAGAAATAAAGCTGGTAAAGAGGAAAGGTTGGGCATGAGGTTAGCAACACATCCTGTAAAATAAACGCTGCTACAGAAACTTCAAGCCTCTAGTTTGAAGCTCTATGTTCCACTGGAAGGTGAAGCAATAAAATTAAGAAAAATAAAAATTCTCCTGATATCCCTTTAGGTAAAACCAGAAGAAATTCCAAAAGAATTTATGCTTGTACGCCTATATATATATATATATATATATATATAAATCCAATCATACCAAATCTATCATGTGTTTTATGTGAAGAAACAAATGTTGGAACAGAGCTTACAAGCTTACTTAATAGTCTATCGTAATTGAGAATATATGCCACTCGATTTTCTCCTCCCCTTCATATTTCTTAATATTAGGAATTCGATTATACTAAAAAATAAAAAATTATGTACGAATGTACAGCCTAGATGATGACTTCATCGAAAAGAAAATTTTCTTCGCTGCGACTGTCTTCTTAATAACTCCTATGACCCAATATGTAAAACATTATCTTCCTATTTCAATGGACGATCCCCCAATTTTCAGTTGACTCCTACTTATAATGCTCACTGTCATGAATAACCACAATGATTTAGTCAGACAACGTCCAAACAATACAGTGATTTACCTCCAAATTGTGATATATCACATTCGTAAAACTTCCTTGTGTCTGTGACAACAGCTTCATTCAGATTCGACCAACAGGCTGAATTTATTACTCTGTATCCAGACGATGTGATAGTTTTGACAAGATTTTGCCAATCGGACTCATTGTGTACGTGTATGACAGTGTTGGTGTTTCCCTATGAAATAAAAATTGACATGTTATGTGTAGTGTTCATTAAAGTTATCTATGTATCTGTGAACCTTTGTCTATTCATCAAACAGTTCATAGCCCTGAGCAATGCCTTCAAAGTACTGCTCACTGATCTAAGGATAAAACTTGGCCACTGTGCTAGAGTATAATTCCATCATGGAGGAAATTTATTTCGATAAAATCACACAGTGTTATACAGTATTATCAACTGATGACATTTCGATCACAATTTACTACGTTGATTACAAAATCTTTGTTCATAGAATCTACACCCAACACATGCAATAGGAATGGCTCACCACTCATACCAGGAATATGGAAAATATTACTACCAATCAAATTAAGAGATGATAAATAGTTGAACCATATAAACAAAGTTGGGAAGTTGTGTGAGTACCTTGTTATGATTATGAGCAATAAATTGTACTCGAAACGTCATCAGTAAATATTATTGTATAACACTGTTTGAGTTTGTCAAAATGAATTACAGTTAAATGTTACAAGCAAACATAAATATACGAAATATTCCCACACTGAGTCCACAAACATACTCTGGAACACTGTCCAGCTTGGCTAGCCAGAGGTGAAGAGAAGAATACTATTAGCTCCATCCTCGAACCCCTTGTCAACTATAGACATCGAGCACCCCTACACGAATGTTTCACAGCGATACACAGAGTCCCTCAATACCCTACGAAAGGACTTCGAATACACCATCTGTGCATAGCTGAATCATTGACAATTCGGGATCTGAAACTGGACCTCTACAATCAAAAGCATCACACACATTCGCTCGTACTACCGTGGTCAGATTACCGTCCTCACTATAGTTTTGCTTCCTATCACTATATAAATTTATTATTATTCTCACCATCATCCTTATTTTATTATCACTGTACTACTGTCTATTAATAACACTGAGTTTTCATACAGATTTTATAAAAACACTTCATCGTCCTTCCACTAGTTCCTGTCCATTCTACACAGTTATATTACAAAATCTTTGTTCATCGAATCTACACCCGACGCATGCAATAGGAATGGCTCACCACTCATACCAGGAATATGGAAAATATTACTACCAATCAAATTAAGAAATGATAAATAGTTGAACCATATAAACAAAGTTGGGAAGTTGTGTGAGTACCTTGTTATGATTATGAGCAATAAATTGTACTCGAAACGTCATCAGTAAATATTATTGTATAACACTGTTTGAGTTTGTCAAAATGAATTACAGTTAAATGTTACAAGCAAACATAAATATACGAAATATTCCCACACTGAGTCCACAAACATACTCTGGAACACTGTCCAGCTTGGCTAGCCAGAGGTGAAGAGAAGAATACTATTAGCTCCATCCTCGAACCCCTTGTCAACTATAGACATCGAGCACCCCTACACGAATGTTTCACAGCGATACACAGAGTCCCTCAATACCCTACGAAAGGACTTCGAATACACCATCTGTGCATAGCTGAATCATTGACAATTCGGGATCTGAAACTGGACCTCTACAATCAAAAGCATCACACACATTCGCTCGTACTACCGTGGTCAGATTACCGTCCTCACTATAGTTTTGCTTCCTATCACTATATAAATTTATTATTATTCTCACCATCATCCTTATTTTATTATCACTGTACTACTGTTTATTAATAACACTGAGTTTTCATACAGATTTTATAAAAACACTTTATCGTCTTTCCACTAGTTCCTGTCCATTCTACACAGTTATATTGATTAGTCATTTTCTCATACTTATTACGTCATCTCAACTTCTCCCCCTTTTCTAGTTTCCAATTAGCCACCCCTTCTAGGTTACACCTTACGTTGCGTAATACGCTTTTGAGGACAAATTTTACCACAGTCTGATTGGCCTTATGAATTCTTTGTTAAATATAATTACGATTGTACAGTTTATGAAAATAAAATTTTCCTGGCTGTTTACGTCTTTTTGAAACTATCAACCGAAGATGTCATCATTCAAATAATAATCACGTTGATACGTCAAGAATATCAGCGATATATGGGAAATATTCTGTTTTGGACAACAGTCAGTGGATTTAGAAGTTACTCAAAACTTTTGAGAGGTTCAAGTGTCAATTGGTGTGCATATAAACTCGTCTCTACCAGTTTCGCATATTACTCAGTCTAAGTCAACACTGCACTACTATACATAGTGCACTTCAAATTTCATTTCTGATTATCTTCACCTTTTCATAACAGGCAGCTTTTCACAAGATTACTTGCTACAATAATTCAGATTACTGCGTAGATTTAACATTTACCACCCCTAAGTGAGAATTCATATCAAAGATTGTCTACCAATGTATGACTGAATACTGCATGTTATGCTTAGTAAGACATTCAATCAAATAAATTCAACCTATACGTGTTACTGAGTGAGAAAGCAGGTGACAAAGTGAGAAATAAACAGCATTCATCCACTCTGAAGTCAACTTACGCGATAACCATTTTCAAATACACTCTGCCACACAATCGGTGTGATAGTCGACTGTACATTTGCACCAATATTCTCAATGATTCCTGCAAGCATTTCAAAATAGTAGTTCTCCAGTTTATTGTAGTCCTCGTCAAATCCATTCTGCTTCATAAACTCTTGAATCTCTGCATCTTCTTGCCTAAATCATAAAAATGAAATCTGTCACACGCACACACACACACACAGACACGCACTTTGAATAGTCGAGGATAGCAGAAGTGCGGAATATCACATTTAACCGAAATTATGGGCACTGTCATGATAGGAGGCCACGTAGAGTTGATGCTAAGCTAATTCATTATAGAATATAAGTTTACTGAATTGACTGTGTGATGCTCCCGATGTCAGTGGTTTCAATTTCTGCTATTTGCATGTACAATTTAGGTGATGGATGAGATGGTGATTGCTTCACTAGTCACCACCATTCTTCTCATATTCCCAGAAACAATGATCTCACAGATGGTGATGTGAAACTTATCAACAAGCCAGTGTTATAAACATGTAGAGTCCACTGGCATCTTTCTTGCTGTGACTTTCTGTATTCAGGGATTACAGTCGAAGAAATAAGGAGAATTGCGCATCTCCACTAATGTTAGCCAACAAATGGAAATCATGGATTCGTTAAGACGATAATATTTTGTAGACCACCTCCCATATATAACCGTGGTTCGATTGGCAATAACGATAGCTATAGAATATGTCAATTAATAGACTATTATTCAAACCTCAAATGCGTTAGTAAAAGTTTCTTGACAAAGGAGCACAGAGAAGAACTAAAAAGACTGATAAATGATGGGAGACTGATAATCGCAAAGCCGAATAAAGGGTCAGAAGTAGTCCTTCTTGACAGATAGTATAAGCCAAGATTTTATGGCCTACCTAAAGTGCATAAACCAGGGGTACCGTTAAGACCAATACTTGATATGCAAGATTCGCCCTACCATGCTCTAGCTAGATGGTTAGAAAATATTCTCAAACCATTGCATGAGAAGATAGTGAAATATAGCGTCAAAGATGTATTTGAACATCGTTATTAACAAGTGTACCTCTAATAGAAACAGTTAATTATATATGTGAACAAGTGGACAAGCAGTCGATAAACATTGTAATCCATATTGAAATCCTAGAAGAATTGATATTAAGATGTACCATGAATGTAAATTTCAAATTTGACGGCACGCTTTACAGGCAAGTGGACGGGGTAGCGATGGGCTCCCCATTGGGTCCCATTCTGGTTGATTTCTTTCTAAGTAAGCTAGAAAATGGACCTCTGAACAACCTTATCAGTAAACTCTCATTTTATTGCCGATATATGGATGAAACCTTTATTCTTTGCGATAATGGTTCTGATAGGAGTACAATAATTACTGAATTCAATGAAGTACATTAGGCTATAAAATTCACATGCAAAGAGGAATCTCAAGACAGAATTGCCATCCTGGATGTCCTACTTACAAGAAAACCAGACGGTAGCATAAAAAGAAATTTGCATAGAAAAAGTACTTGGACAGGACAATATACACACTTTCACAGCTTCGTTCCTATCAATTACAAAAGAAATTTAGTGAAGACCCTCAGCCACAGAGTTAGAGCTATATGCTCAGAAGAAGTAATTGAAGACGAATTAAGCATTGTATATGATACTTTGATCGAAAATGGTTATCCTGACAAATTTATCAAGAAACACATGACAAAGAAAGCGGAAAAGGACTACTCACTTTCTGTAAACAAGAAGCCTTTATATATACGACTACAATTCATGGGCGATATACCAAACAAGATAATTACGAAGAAATTAAGAAAATCAGTTCAAAGAACTTTTAATGCTGGCAAACTACACGTATTATTCTCTACACGACCGATGGTGCTACCTTGACTGAAAGATGAAGTACCTAGACTAGCCACTTCAAATTGTATCTACCAATTCAACTGCTCTTGTGGAGCGAGTTATATTGGCCGTTGCTCTAGGAACTTGATTTTTCGTGCTCGAGAACATATCCCACTATGGCTAAGTAAAGGTGTAGTTAAAACTATTAACAGATCGATATTAGACCATCTGGTGCAAACCGGTCACAAAGCCAGCGTTGAAGAATCCTTCTCTATAATATACCGGGTGCCTAACAAATTACCAAAATCGTCGAAGCACCACATGCTCCAAACAGCAGAGGCTATTGCAATTCGCCTCAAACAACCAGTGCTCTGTGTTCAAAAGAAACAAGTCCAGCCCCTACTACTGCCTTGGCCGGCGTTCAGTAGAGACTATAAATTCATGAATTTGTAATATTATCTTTCCTAATTCTTCTGACATTCAGCTTATTTTATGTTGATGCTATTCAGCTGTAATCTATCGATATTATTGATTCGATGTTATTTAAACAACATTAATGTTGTTCATAACACTAATTCATTCATTCACTATAATGTGTATATATAACTGTAGAGCCTGATGATGAATTTATCGAAAAGAGTATTCTTTGTTTAGTATCCATTCTTTTGAATATTATTTAATCGCCTAGTTTACTAGTTCACTAGTCTTCTAGCCGGTTCAAATCCCGGGCATGAAGGGAAGGTTAGGCTGGCGGCTGGCGGCCCTAACCTGAAAATTAGTTTAGCGGCTACGGAAACTTCAACGCACAACAGAAATACAAATAAATACTTATTAGTATTTCCAGGAATAGGGGTGACGGAATGATGCGGGCTGGTGAAAACCTTCAGGAAGCCAGTCAGCCAATGTATCTTCTTTCGATGAAAAGAAAAATAATCACAGGGACGTAGCATATTCTCAAAATGTACGAAACTGAGAAGGCTACCCAGGTTTTCAAAGAAGTGACTAGATGCGGCATACAAATGCTAGGAATCTGTGAGAGCAGATGGAATGTGTGTGAACTCTCCAGTTTGTTAACTGGAGAGTCAGTAATCTACTCCGGTCACCTGGATGACAACCACAAGCATACTGAGTGAGTGTCCATCATGATGCTATCAGCAGCAGCCAATGCTCTTATACAGTGGGAACCAATCTTCAAACCTGATTATTACAACAAGATTCAACTCAAAAGGAAGGAAAGATATAGTCATCCATTGATAAGCACCTACAAACAACGCAGAACAAGACAACAAAGTTTTCTACAGATAACTTCAAAAATAGTGGATAAAATCCTATATGGTGACATCAAAATCCTAATGGGAGATGTGAATGCTAAGCGGGAAACAAACAGCACAAGAATGAAAATAATCATGGAGCGAGAGGCTGTTGGAGAAATGAATGAGAACGGAAAACTCTTCGCAAACTTCTGCGTCTTCAGTGATTTAACGATTGAAGGCATCGTGTATAAGCACAAGGGCATGCACGAGGTGACATGGATTTCATTTGACGAACACACCACAAACCAGATAGACTTCATCCGCAAGTTACTCAAGAAAGTGGAGAAGCAGCTAGCCTGTTGGACTCAAAGTCGAGAAGGGGAGCAGATGTGGGCTCAGACCATCATCTAATTCAAGGAACCTTCAAGGTGGGGTTGAAATCCTTCAGAACAACTGGAGACAGGCTATAATTCAAGTTCAACACTCAGAAACTGAAGGAAAAAACTATAAGGGATGCCTTCACTACAGATATCAAAGCAAAGTCGGAGACACGATGTAACATAACTGAGGAAACCTGTGTGGAAGAACATTGGAACTCTCTAAAGATGAGATTCGAAGAGACGTGTACAACAGTTCTAAGAAAAAAGAAGAGACACGACAAGAAATGGCACCTACTGGGAAGCCAATAGAAGAGAGGAGGATGGTGAAAGAGAAGATGACTCAATGCAAAGATGGACAACAGAAGGAGAAGCTAAGTTCAATGTACATCTCACTGAATAAAGAAGTGAAGAAGAGTGCTAAGAAAGACAAAAGACAATTCTACAACACACTGGCAACTGAAGCAGAACAGGTCACTTGCAAAACAGACCTCAGAACATTATATCAGATAACCAAGTCTCTGTCCAGGAAGAGATCAACCAAGACGATGAAACCAATAAAAGATGTTCAATGCAACCCAATTAACAAGGAGAAGAAACAAATAAGTTTTCTAATCACTTCAAAGGACTCTTGAATCGACCATCACATGCAACTCGTCCAGAACTACCACCATCACCACCCACAGAACTGCCAGTAGACATCAGTACTATGAAAAAAGGAAGTTACTGAAAGCCGGCAAGACATAAGGGTCAGACGAAATTCCTCCGGAAGCACTGAAAACGAATCCAGAGACCTGGATGAATATGCTGACGCCACTTTTGCGAACATTTGAAAGGAAGGAAAGGTTGGAAGAAAGGCTACCTTGCCAAAATATCAAAGAAGGGAGATTTAGACCTCTGCAAGAACTGGAGCAGAATCATGCTTCTCTTTAAGCTGAGCAAAATATTAAGTTGTGTCATTCTGGAGAGAATAAATGATGCTTTGAATGCAAAACTCCCCCCGAAACAAGCTGGATTCAGGAAAATGAAATCATGTGAGGATCACATTAAAACTTTATACATCGTCGAACACAGCATAGATCAGCAGTCAAATCACATTTTGAAAAGACCTTCGACAGAGTTGACCGCGAATTAATCTGGGAACTACTTAGACGCTTTGGAGTGCTGCAGATCTTTGTCAACCTCAGTGAACAGCTATATGACAATGCCACATGTCAAGTGATCTACAATGAAAAACTCAGCAGAGGAGTAAGACAGGACTGCCAGTTTTCATCGACCATATTCCTAATTTTGATAGATTGGATTATGCGTCAGACTGTGCAGAGCGAGAAGACAGGAATACGTTGGGCCGATAAGAAAGTTCTAGAAGATTTGGACTTAGAGAACGATTTACGTCTAATTTCACCCAAACTCAAAGACCTACAGGCAAAAAGTAACAAGTTGGCATAAGAAGTAGAGAAAACAGGAATTCAAGTGATGAGCATAGATAAGACAAAGGTGAAGAAGACCACCAACGAACAACGTCAAGCACTAATTGCTATCAACCAAAGAAATTTAAAAGAGGTAATTTCTCTCCCCTATCTAGGCAGCATCGTTTCAAATACAGGTGGATGATACGGATGAGGATGTCCAAATCAACATCAGAAAGGCAAGACCAACCTGCGTCACTCTGTAGTCAGTTTGGAAATCTGCTGTGCTCAGCATAAATAAAAAATTCAGATTTTCAACACCAATATTAAGTCAGTCAGTTCTTCTATATGGATCATAAACTTGGCTCGTCACGAAAAGCGTCTGCAGCAGGCTGCTTCAAACGTTTATCAGCAGCTAACCTTCTCTCCATACTAAAGACCAGATGGCAGCAATAAGGAACTCTTGGAACGAACCAATTAAAAACCCATTGCTCAACAAATATGCCCAATAAAAGGGAGGTGGATTGCATACATGCTGATGAGACCGTTGGGTGACGTGACACTCTAGGCAGACCTTCGAGGGGGATCTGAATGGGAAACTGCAAGTCAGGCGTCGAGGGTGACATGGCGGAGGGCGTGTGAGGATGACATGAGAACTTATGGGTAATCTTAAAGTCAGCTAAACAGGACTGCAGAGAACAGGGTGAAATAGAGATATGTTGCAGAAACCCTATGTTCCACTCTAAATCCAAGAGAACCTTAATAATAATTTACTTGATATTCGTAACATTATTCTACAACTGATGAGTGAAGTTAGCATCCGGACTTATTATATGACACCTTATTTAGGCTTAAATCACATACTACTTACGAAATCTAGTAGTATTTGGAGAGTGTCACAAATTACTACATGATAATAACGCTTACAACAGACATAATATTGTCCTATAAACAAGTGGACTGAAGATTCAGTGCATCAGTAAAATGTGAGACGCATGGCACAATATAATAACCACTCAGTCTCCACTTTAGATGCCTCATCAATATAAATACTCACGGAAACCAGTGAACTTACCACAACTGTCTGTCATACACACTGCCACCCAGGTGTAATGACTTATCGGGAAAAACACTCACAACCTCTTGAAACAAGTTTGACAGAATTGTACGAGTGTCTTCACTGGCTGGATTGATTGGTCCTTCATGTGATTCACCTGAGAGTATTTCCGGATGACTTGCCCCCCATGACAAAGTATGACCTGAATCAGAAAACGAAGTGACTTGTTGATGTTTGTTGGTATGTGGTAATAGTTGAAAAGGCGATTCCATAAAATCCACATATGTTTGTACTGAGAAGGTCTGGTGAAAGGAAGAGTGTGATTTCTGAAAGACATGATCCTGTAATTTACTGTGAACTGGAAAGTGATCATTTCCGATGGTCATCAAAAAATAATTCGTAATGTGAGTTTCTACCAACATGAAGAACCAATGTTGTTTTCAATATGTGTTCAGATATAACATGGCCCTACACATTCCAGTCACTTATGACGTTCACGAAATTCAGCCTTTTCATTCTAAGAAGAGAACACGAAGTTCAGCAAAGATATATTTCTGGCGATTTAAATCGCCGAACTGCTGCAAAGGTTTCAAAAATCTTCACTAACCACTTTGCTGCTCCATGAAATGGAGAATTATACATGCCTAAAACTGGGCGAAGAATAAAACCGGCTTTGTACATTTTGGATAGACCGCATAGACGTGGAATGTTGATACCCGTTGGTTTCATAGACTCATACATAGCTGATCATAATACTCCTTTTGGGTTCAGTTTTTTGAGACAGTCGATCATTAGTTTCTTCGCTTTTACATTGAGATCTTTGGAACTACTAAGAGATTGGAATTTAGTCTGATCATTCAAAATACAATCAATTTTCTCAACGTAGTCAGTTTTATCCAGTAAAACTACACTGCCAACTTCATGTGGAGTGCTAATAATTAAGCTTTCATTATTTCTCTTAGTTCTCATTAGTTCTCTTAGAGCATCTCTGTGTTGCTTCTACAACAGACTATTTACTGAATGTCTGTTATTTTTGTACTATTGGTAGCTGTCAACTA